TGGCCATGGTCAACTATATGTTGCACTCTCACGAGCTACATCGTACAAAAATTTTGAAGTCCAAATTCTTCCCAAAGGCAACCGTACAAAAAACATCGTGCACAAAGAGGTGCTTCGATCTTTTATAAATCCCAAAAGCTTCATAGTCATTAGAAAATAATCAAAAAATAAAAATAAAAAAAATTAAAAAATAACACAAAAAAAAGAAAAACTAATAATGCGAGCTTTTTATAACATTTTTCGGTAGAATGACAGTCTCCACCCTGTAACGCAGAGAGGCAGTTAAATTCCTTGATCTTCTGCCGCAGAATCATCATCATTATTAAATAGATTCAACTAATCGCTCCGATTCCAAATAAGCTACTGCACCACCATTGCTAGCTGTGGAGGGCGCCCGTAGGGCGCCCGGAGCAGCTAGTTTTAGAGTAAATTGCGTACAAAATTGTCTGAAAATGTTGGAAATAAATATTCAAAATTTTCCCATGTAAATTCAGTTTTTATCGAATGAAACTTGGCAACGCCTGAAGGCTCATACGGCGTTCTTCCTTAGCACGGCAGCATAGGTAACAAGGATATCCCAACCCTGCATTAACTCCTAACCGTAGTAATAACATCTTTTATGGATAAATTCAACCTTTCCGCTCATGGTAGAAAGAATAATTTACTAGGGTTAAATTGCAAGCCAAACGTCTCTATGACAGTCTCAGTAGTATGAAAATATGGCAACATCATTCTTGACGCTAAGCTCAAGCTGTATATACTTTGAATTCAGTTCCCGTAACCAATGGACAATAAAAACGTTAATAGCTTAACTAGAAGTTGAATTCAGTAGTTTTCGTTGCGCGAATTGTGTTCTGCATGAAATTCTGTCGAAGAATCATGTATCAGAGTGCTTAAATTCTCAACTTGTTTAATGGTCCATTCGATCTAAAAAAGCGAACATGAAAAACTTTTCTAACTTTTCTCAGAAAAAATATGTTTTATCGGGAGAGACGAGGCAACCTTGGACTTCTCATACGGCGTCGAAACAAAACATGGGCCTTTTAAGCCCCATTTTTCGATGCCGCAATTATCCTAACCCGAGTTCGAATAATTGCGCCGAAAACGGCGCGGCGCAGTCGATATCAGACTCATATCAGCGCCTGCAAGACTGTAGGAATACTTTACGCATTGCGCCAAACAGTGCGGTCGACGTCAGACACATATTAGCGCCTACACGACTGCATGAATACTTCTCGCATTGCACCAAACGCAATGCGAGAGTTATTTGCGAAACCACTCGACAACGGGTATAGGCACATTGCCGCTAACTGGATTGAAGGCGCGTCACACTGTGAAGATAACTCGACACTCGACCGCGCTCCCTTCCCTGGCTTGCGTGACGCTAAAATCGCCGCAAAACTAGAACCACGCGTTATTTCTTTTGACGGTTCCTACCTGATTTTTGCCACGATTAAAGGGTGGATACGTATCTCAATTGCAACGATTCAGCAAGTCGGACGATGTTTGAACGATGCAGCGATTCTGAAACTTGATTCGCGTAAAATTAATTTTGGTCTAATAAAAAGACAACAAAACAAACGGAAATACCGCGTTGAATTTCTTTTTTTGTGATTTTATTTCAAATTATTCCGGGAATTTCTCGGAAACTTCTACATAAACTGTGTGTAGTTTCTTTTAAAAAATTGATAAAAAATAAAGATAAAATGAGTAGAGATTTGCAACGTTACAATCGGAGATAAGAACACTTTTTTTCCGCGTGCAGGAGTCGATTTTTTATTTCATTTACGGCAGGCGTAACGAGGTATCTGACTCGACCATGGGTGCAGGCGTATTGCCGCTAGCCGAATGGAAGGCGCGTCACACTGCAAAGATGAATCCATCGCGTTCCCTTGCCTGGCTCGCGCGACGCTGAAGTTACCGTTAAACTAGTATTAGGTGTCATCATTTTTGCCTCTCTGCTACGGTTTTTTACCATCCGTAAAGGGAAAATATGTGTCCTCAGTGTAACGATTCAGAGACTCGGAGGATATTTAATTTTTTTGTTTTGTTACATAGAAGGAAAATAGAATGAACGAAATTATAGCGTCGAAATATTCGATGCTTACTTTTGAGATCATTTAGGAAAATTCGTGGAAAACCTGTGTGTAGCTTTTTAAAAACGTTGTACAAATATAAAACATAAACATTGGTAAACAACGTTGCAATCGGAGACGATTATGCTTCCTGTCGCTTGCACGCGTCGGCTTTTGAATCTCTTCATCTCTTCGCCATCTCTGGCTCGACTCCTCTGGAAATAAATATTGGTGTTCGGACGCGTCTAGGAGCTTTGATTTTATATTTCTCCTTTCATTTTACAGTAAAAGTTCGTTAAGTCGAATTGTCTGGGGACCAATGAAAAGTTCGACTTAAGCGGCAATTCGAGTTAATCGTTTCTCCGCTTAGCTCGAAATCAGCGTGAAAATCGCAAAAATTCGACTAAAGCGGCAATGCCGATACAAAACTGCTTGGATGACCGGCGACTTCTTCAAAGCATGGGTCAAAAAGTTAGATCAAGATATGGCCGGTAAAGGCAAAAAAATAATTTTATTCATAGATAATTGTACTGCTCATCCTCCTGAAATTGAAGGTTTAATTCATGTCAGAATTGAATTTTTCCGCCCAATGCAACGTCCATCCTTCAGCCCCTTGACCAAGGAGTGATAAAAGTAATGAAACACAATTATCGAAAATCAGTCGTTCGGAGGCTTCTTAACTTTATAAACCTCCCAGAGAAACCGCCATCACAAGAACTTAAGATCGACATGTTTACAGCTATGAATTATGTGGCAAACAGCTGGAACTCGGTCACAAGCTCGACGATTGTTAATTTGCAAACTTTTGCTAGAGCAAAACTAAGAGTTGTTTCCTGCAGATAATGCCTCAAAAATCACGATGAGCGCATCGGCAAAGTCTGAAATGCACTCATAACTTCACAATCTGCGTAAGATTTTTGCGGTTTTTTGAGCTTCCCGCTTCGAAAACGATACTACGGTACAGGTGAACATTTTGTTAGAGGAGTCGTTCCATTGGCGACAATACTCATCATGGCCGACGCCAGTCCGCCAAAACACGTGTGATGGGACGAGATAACACCTGAACAGGATTAAACCATTTAACAATCGGCGTGTTTACGTTCATATTTTCCTCGCCCGCCTTAATTGACCTTGAACTCTCCTCGAATTACGCGAGGAACTGCGCAAGCGTCGGCCATGATGAATATTGCCGACGATGGAGCGACTCCTCTAACAAAATGTTCACCTGTGCAGTAGTATCGTTTTTGAAGCGGGAAGCTCAAAATAACGCAAATTTCTAACGCAGATTGTGAATTTATGAGTGCATTTCAGACTTTGCCGATGCGCTCATCGTGATTTTTGAGGCATTATCTATAGGAAACAACTTTTCATTCTGCTCTAGCAAAAGTTTGCAACAGGCCCATTGTTAATTGTTTCAAAAAGGGTGGTTCCAAAAACTGATATTTCCACGCAGCGTAACAGGTCTCTCAACACTCTCTATATTGCGCATTTTTTGTGTTTTTTGTTGTAAAAATCCGGATTTTTCGAAAAAAAAATTTCGACATAAGCGGCTTTCCACCCGGCTCAAAAACTCGCGAATTCGTCTAAAGCGTAGTTTTTTTAACGTTGTTCCATATGCAACGTCGCGGGACCGAAGAAAATTTCGACTAATGCGGATTTTCGTCTTAATCGTAGTTCGACTTAACGAACTTTTGCTGTACAAGTCTTCCGGTTACTTTAATATGTTCAATTTTTCAATGTAGCTACGAGTAATCATCTTCGAGCCTGAAAATAGCGTAAAATTGCGCTGATTTGCCACAATTTTCTGGACCCCCGCAATCTCACATTAAGCCCCCTTAACCGGCCGAGGGTCTACGCCCTCTGATGTAAGGCAGTCCGGTCGTGTGTACTGCCGTGCTAAGGAAGAACGCAGTATGACTATTCGAGAGCTTCCAAATTTTCCCAGATAAAACATGTATTTTTGACAACATTCATGCGCATTTTCCTTAAAATTTTCAGATATTTCAGATTAAATTGCGCGCAAAAATGTCTGAAATTTTTGAAAATTAATATTCACAATTTTCCCAATAAATTTTGTTTTTATCAGAGGGAATTTGGCAACGTCTGAAGACTCATACAGCGTTCCTCCTCAGCACGGCAGTGTAGCTGTGCGTCAGAAAGTTAATCATTTTGAAATTTTGAAATCAAGGTGTTAATTATTCTCTTGATAAAGAGAGGGCTGAAGCAGTACCGATAACTTCATTTTTCATCTCACCCAAGCCAAAGAGATGGCCTGAGCACGAATCAGAGTTAGTACAACACGCCCACGCGTGTTTCGGACGTTATTAATAGTATTCTCAAACCGGCGCCGAATCCTTTTGGGTGTGTGTCTCTGTTTTTGCTCCGCTAAAACAAGCTTCTGTAAGACAACTTCAACGGAGACAACATATCTAATAAGCGCTCGTTTGACGACAATACTGCTACACGGAGAAAAAAACTTCGTGCGTGGGACCCGAAGTTTAGGTCATATGGATCTCTGAAGTTTCCGGATTGAGCATCTGAACACTTTAGGTCTAGCTGTCGATGTTCGGATCACACATCTGAAACTCCAGCTCTTACGTCTGAAGTACTTCAGATGTGAGAACCGACGTTTTTTGGTTGTGAGAACCGAAGTTGTTCGGATGTGAAAACCGAAGTACTTCAGATGTAAGAGCTGGAGTTCAGATGTGTGATCCGAACATCGACAGCTAGACCTAAAGTGTTCAGATGCTCAATCCGAAAACTTCAGAGATCCATATGACCTAAACTTCGGGTCCCACGCACGAAGTTTTTTTCACCGTGTATTTATTGAGTTTTTGTTACCTGCGCATATCTAGCTTTTGCTCCGAGGTTCAAGTCTAAGGGGTACAGATCCCTCCCCCCTTTCCACTTATAATAAATACATACCCATCGAAGGATCCTTATAATACTCGAAGCAGAGGTCGTCCAATTTTATATTCTCCTCCGCTGAGAAGTTTGAATATCAATCACTAAATTCCGTAAATACATAACTTAAATGCATGCTTCTTCTCCTGCTTCAGTGGCAAAGCGCCAAAGATCGATTATCAGTATGTTCCCATCTGAAGCTGTGCGGTAAGGAATCGATTGTTGAGGTTTTCGTTGCTAACACCCTGTCTATCGATTCTTTTCTATAGGTTTAGATGACAGATCAATCGATACATATCGCAAAGCACTCCACGCCACTGTTCTTCTTCTTCTTCTTCTTTCCCCTCTACTTTCTTCTTCTTCTACTTTCCTCCTCTTCTTTCTCTTCTTCTTCTACTTTCTTCCTCTTCCTTTTCTTCCTCTTCTTCTCCTTCTTCTTCCTCTCCTTCTTCTTCTTCTTCTTCTCCTTTTTCATCTTCTTCTCCTTCTTCTCCTTCTTCTCCTTCCTCTTCTACTTCTTCTTTTCTTCTTCTTCTTCTTCTCCTTCTTCTTCTTCCTCTTCTACTTCTTCTTTTCTTCTTCCTCTTCTTTATGTTCCTCCTCCTCCTCCTCTTCTTCTTCTTCTCCTTCTCTTTCTTCGTCAAACTTTTTGCTGGGGTCGAAACATTATCTGTTTTGCTTCTGAAATAAGAAAATACTAATGATGAAACTGAATAATCCACCGGAGATGAAAGGCAGTTCTGTGCCCATCTCCTAATTCAAATGTAGCGTTTCATATATCGCCGCCTACCACAAAAAACCAAGCGAGCACTTGAAACTGCGGAATAATCCTGACAAGGTAAGGGAAATTCCAAAAATAATATCGCGTCACGATTTACTTTGTATGAGCAAGGTACGAGACGGAATTTGCAACATCAGATTTAAAGATACGAGTTTTTAGATTTTAGCTTTCGACGTATGTTTTTGGCAAAATATTTATGTGGATGCGTCATTCGGATTTTTGAAAAACACGTTTTTTTCTTCCTTATTTCACCTTTTTTGGTGAGATGGATCAGTAAGTGCGCACACTGAGGAAAAATTTTACTAAATGTCAGAATGTGAGTCAGGAGTGTTAAGTCAAGAAAGTGTGTTAACATTTCGAGGGGAGCTCAGGAGCTCACCTTGAGGACAAAACCAATAAAATCTGTGGTTTCTATAATATTATCACAGACTCTTCATATAAATCGCAAAAATTTCTACTGAGCAGTGCACGTGTGCTAATAGTTAAAACAAACATAGTTCATTTAAAACAACAAGTTTATTGTAACACGTGCACTCGAATCGGAAGATACAAATATATTCAGCTGTCGGTTATAGCTCAGCCGCTACTGCAAAGACTCATACATCAATGTCATCCGTTCGTAATATATGCTTTCCAGTTCAGATAAAAGCAGAGGATTTCTCATGAGTGTAGAGCATTTTAGAAGCATCATCCCTTGTTTCAGTTTCATTTCCCCGATCCGAAAAAATCCACGATGAATTTCCATACCTCTAACTTCGTGTTTCTTTTTATGGTTTGTATAAAGGCGTCTTAATTTTTTTCACGCGGCGACCAGTGACATGGGGCATATTTTGCGATGAATCTATTCATTTGCAATTCGAACCTGTAGAAAAAGATCGATAGACAGGTTGTTCGCAACGAAAACCTTAATAATCAATTCTTTACCATAGCTTCGGGGGGGGGGGGGTT